AATAGAATAGAATAGAATAGAATAGAATAGAATAGAATAGAATAGAAAAGTAAAGAATATAGATAAAGAATAGAATAGAATAGAATAGAATAGAACAGAAAAGTAAAGAATATAGATAAAGAATAGAATAGAATAGAATAGAATAGAATAGAATTCTTTATTGGCCAAGTGTGATTGGACACACAAGGAATTTGTCTTTGGTGCAAATGCTCTCAGTGTACATAAAAGAGACATCCGTCAAGAGTCGAGAATCATCAGGTACAACACTTAATAATAGTCATAGGGTACAATAAGCAATCAAATCATACCAGGAAACAGTTTAAAGAATGGAATGGAATGGTATAGAAAATAGAATAGAAATAGAAATAGAAATAGAATAGAATAGAATAAGGAATAGAACAGAAAAGAAAAGAAACTAGATAAAGAATAGAATAGAATTGAATTGAATTCTTCATTGGCCAAGTGTGGTTGGACACACAAGGAATTTGTCTTTGGTGCAAATGCTCTCAGTGTACATAAAAGAAAAGAGACATCCGTCAAGAGTCAAGAATCATCAGGTACAACACTTAATAATAGTCATAGGGTACAATAAGCAATCAAATCATTCTAGGAAACAGTCCATATAAATCATAGGATACAAGCGACAAAGTTACGGTCCTTCAATTACAAGTGGGAGGGGATGGGTGAAAAGGAGTGATGAGAAGGTTAATAGTAAGAGTAATGCAGTCTTAGTAAATAGTTGGACAGCGTTGAGGGAATTATTTGTTTCGCAGAGTGATGGCTTTCGGGGGAAAACTCCCCTTGTGTCTAGTTGTTCTGGTGTGTAATGCTCTATACCGTCATTTTGAGGGAAGGAGTTGAAACAGTTTATGTCCAAGATGTGAGGGGTTTGTAAATATTTTCACAGCCCTCTTTTGGACTCGTGTGGGATATACAGGTCCTCCATGGAAGGCAGGTGGGTAGTAATGGTTTTTTTCAACTCATAAAACATGCCTGTTTTAGTAGTTGCCATAAAAAGGGACGGAAAGCAAAAGTCCAACTCTTATATTTAAAAGATTGTAACTGAAATACCAGAGCTTTTGCCCACGAATATATTTAATTGGAGAATGTGATCGTTGACACCAAGCTTGTGATCAGGCTCAATTGGAGAACCTGGTTTATGAGACACCTGGGGGGGGGGGGGAGAGGGGGAAACAGGGTCCCAGGGGCCTGTGAATGACGTAGGCCAGAGTTGGCGTCCTACAGGGCAGGGCCAGTAAGTCGCCTCTAATGAATCCTTTGAAGTTTTTTGAAGTTTGGCTCGAGGATCATGATTTCATGAGGGCGATTGCTGGAATCCTGACAGCAGGTTCATTGAGTTCCGCTGGAGGTGGGTGAGTCCTGGTGGGCCTGCTCCCTCCCAGGTCTCAGGCTTTGGATGGCTTCCATCCAGTCTCCTAAAATGAGATGGCTGTTCTAGGGCAGGGGTCTCCACCCTTGGGCCACTTTTAAGACTCGTGAACTTCAACTCCCAGCTTTGCTGGCTGAGGAATTCTGGGAAATGAAGTCCACAAGTCTTAAAGTGGCCAAGGGTGGAGAGTCCAGGGGTGGGATTCATTATTTTTTTTTACCACTGGTTCTATGGGCGTGCTGGGCCCGGCCAGGTGCTCATGTGACTGGGTGGGCATGGCAATGGGTTTTTTTCTGCAGCACCCTCCCCTGTGAGTTCAATCCTAGGTAGAGGCAGATATTTCTCTTTCTGGGCACAATGAGAATATATCTGCCAAACAAAACTCTGCCTGGCAACAGGGAGGGCATCCGGCCAGTAAACTCCCTGTTAACTCCATTCAGTTGCCCGGACTCCACTCCACAAAGGATTATGGGGTTGTTAAAATGATGAATTTACAGAAATGGTAAAACTCACGTTGGAATTACAAGAGAAGGAAGAGAAGGAATATTATAGAGTCTGGAAAAATGGAATAATTGGTTGGAGGATAAGACAGTCAGAATAAAAAATAATATAAACAAATAAATGTAGGTATGTATATATGTACCATATGTACCGTACAGGTAGATAGTTAACAAAAACTGGGAAAGTAGATGTCACAACATTGTAAAGATTGCGTTTGTCTTGTTTTGTTGTGTTGTTTTGATTGTGTAAAAACGTATTTTTTTTATAAAAAAAATGAATTTTAAAAAAGAATAGTTCATGCTCAACATACTGACACCAATTGAGCCCCAAATTCCTGTTGCCAAGAGAAAGTGGTTCTGAGTTTTGCCTCTTTTTACAACTTTTTGTTTGCCACCGTTGTTGAGGGAATGACTGCAGTGGTTAATTTAGTAGCACAGTTTGTTTAATGAATCTAGCTTTGCCCCATTGAGTTAGCTTGTCTGAAGGTCACAAAAGAGGATCACGTTGCAACCCGTCATAAGAACATGTCAGTTGCCAAGCATCCGAATTTTGATCGTGCGACTATGGGTGCCTGCTGCTAGCTTTTAGCCTTCCACGGGCCATGAAAACCCACCTCTTTTCCCCCCCCCCAGTGGGCTGTGTGGATGGGGGTCCCTGGCATGATAGGGGTCTGGCACACGGTGGGCACGGCCTGGTCAGTTTTATCTTCTTTTTGCAATTCTTCTTTTTGCAATTCTTTTTTGCAATTCTTTTTGTAAGGGTTGTGAGCTGCCTGGGATCACTGGGCGATTATCCCAGGCAACCTTTTAAGTTTTTCCCCCCCAAAATAAGGCATTTTGGATGTTCAGGTGAGCCTCTTGTGCCCTCCTGCATGGAGAAACCAAGGGCGGGTGCGTGGCAGTGGTGGTATTCAGCCAGTTTGCGCCGGATCGGGCGAACCGGGAGCAAGGATTTGGCATGGGTCACTGAACCGGTAGTAAATTTTGTCTGCCCCCCCCCCCAACCCAGTCACCCCCGGCTCGCTTGCCCTGCCCACCCGATGCTCACTGACCCCGCCCGCCTGACGCTGGCCCCTTAAGCTATTTCTTCCCCCCCCCTACAATCAGCTGTTCATATGATCAGCTTTGCCAGGATTCGGCCCAGGAAGGCCAAAAAATGGAGGGAGGGGCTCAGTCCCCCTCCATTTTTTTGCCTTTCTTAGTCCCAGGGGAGCCTTCTGGGAGCAAAAGCACCTCGCCCCCGCCCCGCCCCCCAAGAGGCTCCTCCGAGGCCCAGAAGGCCCCAAAAACGGGTGAGGGGGATTGGCTGCAACAAAAAAAAAAAAAAGCCACGCCCACCCAGCCACACCCACAGAACAAATGGAAGCCCGCTCCAGGTGCCTGGGGATGAATTCAGGAAGCCGCTCACCTGGGCCGCGTAGAGGTTGTCGTAGAACTTTCCAGGGTGATGAGGCGGGGTCCAGGGGCGCTGCTGGGCCTCTGGGCAGCTGCACGGAAGGAAACAAGGGGTTGGCAAGGCCCTCTAAGAACAAGCCCTCCGGCAGCCCAGGGCAGGGCGGGGCAGGGCAGGAAGGAAGGAAGGAAGGAGCGGAGGTTTAGGAAAGAGAAAAGCCACCTGGAACGGAGGAGAAACTGCCTGACAGGGAGGACAATGAGCCAGGGGAACGGCTTGCCACCAGAAGCTGCAGCTGCTCCAGCACTGGAGGTTTTAAAGAAGAGACCGGACAGCCGTTTCCCTGAGATGGGATAGGGTTTCCTGCCTGAACAAGGGGCTGGACTAGAAGACCTCCAAGGTCCCTTTCCAACTCTGTTATTCTAGAATAGGAATAGGAATAGGAATAGGAATAAGAATAAGAATAAGAATAAGAATAAGAATAAGAATAGAATAGAATAGAATAGAATAGAATAGAACAGAACAGAACATAGGATGGAATGGGATGGGATGGAATGGAATGGAATGGAATGGAATAGAATAGCATAGAATAAGAATAGCATAGAATAAGAATAGAATAGAATTAGAATTAGAATTAATAGAATAGAATAGAATAGAATAGAATAGAACAGGGAGGAATGGAATGGAATGGAATGGAGCTGGAAGGGACCTTGGAGGTCAACTAGACCAGCCCCCTGCTCAAGCAGGAGATCCTATAACATCTCAGACCAGTGACTGTCCAGTCTCTTCTTAACAGCCTCCAGTGATGGAGCACCCACAACTTCTGGTGGCGAGCAGTTCCACAGGCTAATACTCCTCACTGTCAGGAAGTTTCTCCTTAATTCCAGGTTGTTTCTCTGCTTGGTTAGTTTCCATCCCTTGTTCCTTGTCCTGCCTTCAGGTGCTTTGGAGAATAAATGGAGCCCACCCCTCTTCTCTGGGGCAGCCCCTCATACTGGAAGGCTGCTATCCTGTCCCCCCTAATTCTTCTTTCCTTTAGACTAGCCAGACCCAAATCCTGCAACGGTTCTTCGTATGTTTTAGTCTCCAGGCCTTCGATCATCTTAGTTGCTCTTCTCTGAACTTTTTCCAATGTCTGAAGTTTTTCGTAATGTGGTGACCAAAATGGGTTGTATTACTACTATTAGTACTACTACGATGCACTATTTGATAACTACCACGTGTCATCACTGCATACTTAAAACACAGGTAATCTGGTCAGGTAAAGGCCTCCCAGGATCATTTGCACCACAGGCCAAGTTCCGTTAGCTATTTATATATTATATATCTTGCAGAGAAGAGCAACCAGGATGATGAGGGGTCTCTGGAGGCTCAAACATACGACGGACAGTTGCAGGAACTGGGCCTGGCTAGTCTAGGGAAGAGAAGGATCAGGGTGTCGTGCTTGGGTGGGGGGTTAGACTAGATGACCTACAAGGTCCCTTCCAACTGTTAATCTGGATCTATCTAAGATGATCAAAGGCCTGGAGATTAAAACATACGATGAATGTTTGCAGGAACTGGGCCTGGCTAGTCTAGGGAAGAGAAGGAGACAGGATAGCAATGTGCCAATACTTGAGGGGCTGCCCCAAAGAAGAGGGAGTCAAGCTATTCTCCAAAGCACCAGAAAGCACGACAAGAAACAATGGATGGAAACTAACCAAGGAGAGAAGCAACCTGGAATTGAGGAGGAATTTTGAGACAGTTAGAACAATTAGCCAGTGGAACGACTTGCCTCCAGAAGTTGTAAATGCTCCAACGCTGGAAGTTTTTAAGAATCAATTGGATAACCATTGGTCTGAAGTGGTGTAGGATTTCCTGCCCCAAGCAGGGGCTGGACTAGAAGACCTCCAAAGGTCCCTTCCAACTCTGTCCTGTCCTATTCTCTATTCTATTTTTTTGTGGTTCAGCAGGTGAGGCAAATAATCTGACCCGTTTGCTGGCTTAACGTTCCAGGCCCTGTGTGAAGCCAGGAAAGGGGTTTGTTCCCCATCCAGGTGAACTTGTCCGAATGCAGCCCAAAGAAATCCTTCGCCGAGCCCTTCCTCTGCCCGGGTCCTTACCTTGCCGCCGCTTTGGATTTCTGGATGGAGCCGCACAAGACGTCCATGCCGACACGGAGAACGCAGGCGGAGACGAGAAGGAAGAAGAGGCAGGTGGCCGAGACCACCAAGGACGTCCTGATCCAGGAGTGGACCCTGCAGGAGAAGCACCTGGGATCGGAGGTGGTCTTCAGCTGGTTCTGACCGGTTCTACAGAACCGGTAGCGGACATTTGGAGTAGTTGGGAGAACCAGCATCAATCCCACCTCCGACTGGCCCCGCCAACCCCATCTCTTCTCTGCCTCCCATGGAGTCCCAGCTGGGTCTCCTTTGGTTGCCCTGCACAGGAGAACAGAGCTGGAAAGCAGGTCAGTGGGGTGGGGAGGGAAGGGGGAATTTGCAGTATATCCTTCCCCTGCCCTGCCCACCAAGCCACGCCCACAGAACCAGTAGTAAAAAAAAATTGAACCCCACCACTGGCGACATCCCTCCAGTCACTCCCCTCCAGGTGCTGGGCAACATGTCCTTGACTCTCTGAGAAAGAATGTTGATGAGTCTCATCTTCTAATCCCCTCTACGAACCCCACCCCCCAACCCTCCCAAATTCCCAGGCACTGAATTCAGCTCTGTTTTCCATCCCAGCCCATTGGTGATGCCCCCACCCCCCAACCCCATGGTCCAGCCCCCTCCCGGCCCCCTCACTCACAAGTGCCCGTCGCCGTAGCACAAGCTGTAGAGGCAACGGAGCAGAGAGACCAGGGTGAAGATGGCCGTCAGCCCAGAGACGGCGGATATGAAGTAGCAGAGCGAGGGAGGACTGGAACTCAGGAGGCTCAGCGTCCCGTTGTAGCCCACCGACCCGTACAGAATGCACCGGCCGCCAAAGCTCCCCTGAGGAGGAGAGAGAGGGAGAAGGAGGGCGGGCAGCAGAGGAGTGGCTTGCTGGCCAAAGAAAGAGAGTTCTGGTGTTGATCCCCCCCCCCCCCGTCTCTGTGGAGGATGGGATCCAGAACCCAAGACCTGGTTGAAGGCTGCAACGGAGACGGGCTGGAGGTGTTTGCGCCATAGATTTCTTTTTTTTTTCTCCTCTCTTCTTCCATTTTGTTTCAATCCTGCCTTTGTTATTCGTATTCATAACTCAAAGCAGTGAGCCATATCCATCCCACCTTCCCCCCTCCTATTTTCCCCACCACAACAACCCTGTGAGGTAGGCCGGGCTGAGAGAGGGACTGGCCCAAAGTCACCCAGCCGGCTTCCGTGCCAAAGGCGGGACTCCAACTCCCCGTCTCCTGGTGATTGGCCCAAAGTCCAGTCGGCTTCCGTGCCAAAGGCGGGACTAGAACATGTTTATGACGGTTTCAGGGTCACATGATCCCCTTTTGCAACTGTCTGATAAACAAAATCAATGCGGGGAAGCCAGATTCACTTAACAACGAGGTTATTATTAACTTATCCACTGCAGTGGTTCACTTAATAACGGGGAAAGCAAGGTCGTCAAACGGGGCAAAACTCGCTTCACAAATTACCCCTCCTTTCCTCAGACCTGAACCCAGAGCTCCTGCCTGTCCCCCTGCGCCTTAGAGCAGGGGTCTCCAACCTGGGCCCCTTTAAGACTGGTGGACTTGCTGGCTGGGGGGATTCTGGGAGTTAAAGTCCACCAGTCTTAAAGAG